TCTGTTTTGTGCTGCTGTAACAAAACAACACAGACTGAGTAATTTATAATGAACAGAAATTTACTGGCTCATGATTCTGGAGGCTGGGAAGTTCAAGATCGAGAAGCCAGCATATGGAGAGGGCCTTATTGTTGTGTCATCCCATGGCAGAAGGGCAAAGAAAGGATGAGAGAGAGCGCAAGAGGACCAGACTTTCCCCTTTATAATGAACCCACTCCTGAGATAATGGCATTAGTCCATTCATGGGACGAGAGTCCTCATGGCCTAATCACCTCTCACTAGGCCTCACCTCCCAACATTGTTGCATTGGGGATTAAGTTTCCAACACATGCTTTTGGGGAGACACATTAAAACCATAGCAGGGAGCTAAAAACACCACTGAGATTTCCCTCAAAAGAAAAAAGGGAGCATTTAAACCTTTCTCAAAAGAAAAGCATAGTTTTCATCCATATATTTTAATTAGTTCACTATTAATAGCCATTAATCACTTTTAACAAACCATTCAGAGTTTACCTTTGAAAATTGTAAGCAAGTTATGGCATTATTACGTTTTAAAATATTATTTCATAAGAGAAACAAAAACATACATCTATATTCAAAACTTCTATAAAAGTATTTTTCACCTAAGCATAAAAATCACATGCCAGGGTCATTTCATATCAGTTGATATAACTGTTTTTACTACCTTCAAAGCACATGAATATGCTTTTTCTCCAACATTAATGGACTTAGGATCATCATCATCTAAGTCTTCCCAAATCCTCACATCACCATCACTCCCACAAGTCACAATACAACTGTGAAGGAAACATATACATTAAAAAATCATCCAGTTTCAGGCATATTAACCTTTATAGAATGGTACCTTTACATTTATCATTTTTTAATAAAATCAAAGTACTAGCCAATATTGTTTTCTCATTTTATACACATAAACCTCAATAACAAAGACTACTAACTTCCTATTCTGTAAAATAAAAGGTGAGTTTAATCCTCTCTACAGTTCACTCTTGGCATAAAATTATTTATTTGTAATAATGTGAGAAAGATGAGTGTATTATCTCTGAAACAGCAAGGATCATGTCTACCTTGCTCACCACTGTATCCCTAGCACGAATCTCTGACACAGAAACCTTAAAAAATGTTTGTTGAATAAATAAATGGATGGATGAGCTCAATTATCCAAAGGTGACTATTCAAATGGATATCTATATCTGTCATAACTTGTTTTAAACCTCTCATCTTCCAAGTGCTTTTATTCGTTTTGTGTCCCAACCAGACACATACAAAAAAGCAAATAAAAATACAAAATATAACATATATAATAAAAATACAAAAATAATATATGGTAAGTGGCAAAAAAGGAGCCATATAAAGAACTATGGATGTTCAATAGAAAAAGATTGATCCCCATTCCCACCTATTCATAAGAAAGGTGGTATTTACTTCGGGAAGTCAAAGGGACAAGTAGGACTGAGTACATTGAGACTGGTGATGAGGGCAGTTCCAAACAGGAAATCAACCAAAATATGAAGTCAGTAAGCATGGGGGAGTTTATGTGGAGCAGACAATCCAGAAAATGGTAAGAAAAATGAAGACTGGGGTTATCCTGTTTAGGATAATCTTGATGGCAGAGTCATACTCTATTCTATAGGAAGTAGACAGGAGGACCAAAGGTCTCAGTTCGTTCAGGATATTCCTGGTTTATGCATCCAGTTGGTTTGGCATTTGTCCTGGATTTTTCACTTTAAAATATTTTAGTATCAGTTGCATCAAAATTGGCTGGGGTGGGTTTGGCAGACCTCTTCTTTGCATTTCCAGCTTCTGCCATGGTCTTGTTCAGTAGTGTAACACACATGCAATGCGTCTCACTTTAACACATGGTTAAATCTGGAAAATGACCAGTGATAACCCATTTCCCCCTTTTCTAACCCTTTCTTGATGCAATATAATTAACAAATCCCTTCAAGAACAAATGTGAGGCATTCACTGATAAAAAACAAACTGAATTCAGACTTAAGCCCCTAGGGATAGCTACTTCTTTCAGTTTCCAGTGGTGATGGAGAAGTATTTCATGTTGCTGTTCCTACTGACTTAGTGCATCAGCAGCTGCATGGGGGGATATACAAAGTTGCAGGAGCCAGTTGGTGGGGCCTGTGGGAAATCATAGTGAAATTAATGAGAAATGTAGGCAGGAAATAGAGTTAAGCAGTTCTGTGAAGAGCTTCTAAAGTAGTCTGAACATTCTTCCTAAGTGGTTTTGTCATTTACTGTATCAAATAACTATATATTAATTTTATTGTTTGGCTATGCTTTTCAAATTTTGGGGAAAAAAAACAACACAACCCTTTCAGTAGCAATAAGCTAAAAAAATACATCAAGTACGTGTTTAATAAAAAATTAAATATTAAATTTCTGCTTCTCAGGAAAGTTGATAAGTATAACTTAAACAAAATGTTAGCTGACATTTACCATGGGGCTATAGTGATAACACCAACGACAGGAAAATCAGAGGATGAAAAACTCCTGAAGAAGTATCTACTTTAAAAGTTAGTCATTATCTTGAGAAGACTGCCTAATAACTGCACTTCTATAGCTGCAGAAAGTGAGTTTACATTTTGTCAAGCATAACTCTTCAGTGTTGTCCAACAGAACTTTCTGAGATGACAGAAATGGTCTAAATCTAGTACAGAGCAATTAAAATGCTCATTTTTGATTCCAAGTTTTCTACTACAAACATAAAAAGTGACTTAATGTGTTGTATCCATTAGCAAAAGAACTTTTCAAACAGTTAAATGATACTAACGTTATAGCCATGTCATCAGGGGTTTTAAATAGAAAATCAGTGCCTCTGATTCTTATGAGAAAAATAATGGATAAAAAAAGAGAAATGAAATTTACAAAAAAAAAAAAACCAAAAGAAAATCAGTCAGATTAATTCCAATAACGGTTTAATTTTCCCTTCAGTTCATGGAAACACAGTAAAGCTTCTGGAAGTTCATTCTGTTGAAAGTGAAACATCTGACATTACTGAGAATTCTATCTAAATTCATTGAAAAGTTTAATGCTAAACATAAAATTCTTAATTTTTAACAGTAATACGAATTTTGGTAGAGCACAATACTGTAGAAAAAACAATGTCCTTAACTATATTAAGAAATCTATGAAACAAAAAAGTACTCGGAATTAGAATTATAATTCATGATTGTGCCCAAATGAGCTGTGAGATAATGTGCCAAACCAAAAAGAAGACATACTTGTCAAATTTTCAAATAGTTGTATTTATATCCAGAATAGTTGAACAACAAAATTTTTTAACAAACTGATGTTAAATACACAAAAATACTGGCATTGTAGGATGTGCTTTCTCCCTCTGCTGGCCATCATCAACTGGATTTTTAAAATCTTTGAGTCTTTGAAGAGTGACTTTATAAAACAATCCAAGCGTCCTATAGTAATGGTATTATTATAGTATTATTAGAAACAAGTCCTCTAAATCTTAGTTGCATTTAGTTCAAAACAGTAAGAAATCTTCAATCAAAGCATTCAACTGAAGCCTTTGAAGCTTTTAGGGAAATGCAATTAAGGAAAACAAACCTTATGCACAGGAAGACACCGAAATTTATCCCTACAAAAGCAAATAAGAATTGAACAAATTATACATGAAAAGCTGAAATGGTGAATGATTTAATTTTGAAATTCTGTAATTGCACTTTGGAATATCTTGACTTGTTGGAAGAATCTTTTGATGGAACTCCTATTTTTAATTGTATAAATTTATGTTCTGTGCCAGAATGAAATGAAATAGAGAAGGCTTAAAATCTGTGAAACATTCAAAAGAATCATAGGCAACTTGATGAATTTTGTCTTTAAAATATTGAAGATTCTATCATTGAAAAAGGGTATTCTGAATGGAGATAAAAATACAGATCCTATAAAGAAACTGAGGCTAAAATATTTACCCTTTCAATTAAAACAAATTCTTAAATATTGTGATTCTTCCAGTTAGTAGAATTTGCTCTGACTTGCCAAGTACCTTAGAATGCCTAATGAGAGTATTTTCTCAGTGAAAAATGTTCAAAATATCATGTGGTCTAAGAAAAGAATTAATTGAACTTCTCATTTCAAATTTATTTCACATAAGATGCAACTCTGAAGAAGACTGCCACTAATTTTATGAGAAAAATAAAAATAACACTGTATTTAAAAAAGCA